CTCCACATTTTGCATACTTTTTTTCGACGACACTTAGACTATCAACGCCTTTACTTCGCAGTGCCACCGCTACAATATATATCTACGTATATTATTATATTGTAATATTATGATTTTTTTTCTTTTCTCCGTGCCATCATCGTAATATTGTTATAAACTATTATTATTTTTGTTGTAAAAAACATTGGTTTTTATTAATCGTTTGCTTTTCGCATTTTTTTTCTGTTTTTTTTCCACCCGTACAGATGCAGCCAGGAGAGCGGCGGGGAGTTGGGCGGTTTCCCTGCTACTGCCGCGGCCGCAGCGTTCGCCGCCGCGGGTGGTTCGGGCGGCGCACCGCCGTCACTTGGCTCGTCCATGCAGGCCGCCGCCGCCGCGTACCACCTCAAGAATTCGACTGCGTCTTCACCGTATGCCGCCGTCAACAGCATCGGGCTGATGGACTCGTTGCAGACCAGCATGGGCTGTTACCCAACAGCGGCTGGTCAGAACTACCACCACCATCATTCCACCACGTTGTCCCTGTTCAACCACCGTAAGCATAACAATATAATTATCAATCGMTGGAAACTATTTTGCGTACATCACCGTGCCACATGCACTGYTTATATGGTAACCATTTTGTGCTAAAAAGAATCACTCGCGGGCTTATGAACACTTTTTTTTAAATCGATAGATCAAAAAATAAAAACGCTCTGAYACGGCAAACATTGTTTTCTGCAGTGTATACTTACCACGGGGGTATACATTTTGTTTCTTTACCAAGGTTGTGTATAATATATAGTCTGAGTGGTTACTTTTCACGTGAGACGGTTTCTACAACATATTTATGGGTATAGATAGGCAGTTCACTCCTGTGCGCAGTGACGGTGCTTATAGTAAAATATAGTTAAAATGTCGTATTGTTACGCCCGGCGGTAGACAGGTCATCGCGTTTTCCCAGTATATACATCATTCTTACGGGAAAACGCATAGGTACATCCTGTACTTTATTTAGGTAGGTGGTCGGATTTCCGCCGAATATGTGTGTTAGTGGCTTGTGTAGACTGAAGCGTTGGGCAATAAAGCTTCAATATTTACCAATTGTTTGCAWTTTTAAAGGTTGTATCAATAGTTTTATATTCAAACATTTCGATTAATATTCACTATCATCATTATTCATTATCTAACTTGTGTGCCTATAAAATACAATTTAGTAGGTAATTAAAAAGTTCATTTTACAAATAATATTAAAATAAAGTTACACAAAATTAATCGTGGATAATGGTTGAGTTTTAATTTTTGAGAATAAATAAAGAAATAAACCTTTGCATCTCCTCATCCCTGTCTTATTATATATATATGTATATATTTTATATATATATATATATATATATATAGTATACTGTTTACACCGTTAACCGTTTGTTGAACAGTTTGCTATTGTACAAATATAGTGACAAACAGCGTTACAGTTCCGAGTCCTTCGACCTGAATAGACTATTGAATTGGTATACCTACCACTGTCTTATAATATTTCATACTGTGACATTTTATACGCAATATAATAATGGTGTATTTTTATTTTCTGTAAATCTGGTTCAACACAAAATCGTTTATTTATAATGTGAAGAAAAAATGTGTGGTTTTTAACGATTGCCCCTTATTATATCACTGCACCCTAATGCAGGGTGTATCCACCCAGCATTATGTTTCCTCAGGTAGATTTTTTCTCGTGTAGTATGAGTGTATAATATATACTATATATAGGAAGTGCTGGCATGCCAAATTGCTAAATCTCTTATGCCCTGCGATCAAAATGTCRAATCCCAACCATTTTATTATATGATACAATAACGGGAATTACTCACGGTATAGGGACTATAATATAACAATAATATTATACTATATAGTAAGTGTGTGTGTGTGTGTGTGTGTGATGTGTGTATATCTATTTGTAAGCTGTATAGTATATATATTGTACGAATGTGTATAGGTATGTGTGTACGTGTATATTCGTATGGCAAAAACTAGTTACTACGTAGTAGTTGGACATTTAACTGTTAAAAATACTTATAGGTATATAGAGAACACTTTCAAATATTAGGATATATAAGAATAAAAAAACAAGTAGGTACCTATACCACCACTACAGCAATATATACTTAGTACACTAGGAAAACTTATATTAAATGCCAAGTATTGTAGTATAGGTGCTGTGTAGAATGCTGTAAATATTTCTTTATACGTTCTAAATAAATGTATAAGTTAAACGGTATAGTATGTTTTTATCATTATCGTGACGAGTGTATAAAAAAAAAATATGTTTAATACTGTCAAATGCGAATCGCTTGAAAAGTATTACAAAAGTTTACAAAGTAGATAATAAAAATAGTGTTTAAATAACGTTTATTAAAATACTCAACAGGTCTAATAGTTGTATATTATGCACAAGTGTAGATATTATACGAATAACCTACATGATCACTAAATAAGAAAAACAATTATAGGTATATCAATAGTATTTTTTTGTGAAGTGATATATATATTTTTTTTTATTCAGACCTACAAAAGCCTAATTAAGCCTGACAAAATTACAACTACTTCAAATAATCCGATTTTAATTTTATTTATCTTTTAGGTTATTGTATAGAAATTAATTTTCATTGTTTAAAGTAGAAAAATACGCATGTTAAAACATAATATTCGTTATTAAAAAGTGAATAAAATAAAATAAATAAACATTCATAATATCGATTAAATCTAAAAAAAAATGTGCATTTAATTAAAACTTTACTACCACGATAATGCCGAAAAAAGATCTATAATACCTACTCAAATGTTTTCATGGAGTTAAAAACGAATAATTCTTAGTAGAAGTTGTAATCTTATAAAGGTTTATGGGTCTGATTCGTCTTCGTGTGTAGGAAATAAATAATAATTGTAATATTCTATTGCGGTATACCTAAACTCTTATCGTGTGACATGTGTTTGTTCGCACGTACCTATATGTGTGGGCCACACACTGACTTACTTGCACAAAACAATCATTCACTTCTAGTACTACAAACGCGCCGCGTAAGCGTAATACACACACAACCCCTTAATATAAATTGCCGCTCTAGATCCTCGTTTAACGTTATAAATAGGCACACGATCAATGATGATGCCGTTATAAAATAATAAATTGCTCGACTTCAGAAATCTTGATTTATTAGAATCTTCTACCATTTTGTCTGATGTGTCAAACGACACCGCCTTTAAGATCACAATTCTGATGAAATCTTAGTACAATATTCAGCTTAGCGAGGGAACAAAAACCTACCAAACACAACACATATAACATTAGAGCGAATACCTGTGATGTATATAATATATTATATGTATTTATTTATTTACGAATGAGTCACTGTATTCCCGATGATATTATAATATGCATAATGTATATATATTATATACGTATATATAGGTGAAACCGTCTGCATGTTATCTGTTACAATACAATGTAATACAAAGTGTACATAATAACAAGCCCACTGAATGTCTGATTATATAATTTAATACTATGTGTCTATTTTTATTCATTGCAAAAATGACTGATTAAGTAATTTTTCCAAATAATCAAATAATAGATATTTTATAAATATAATATATTTAAACGAATCTTGAGTAATTTCATATATATATTCAAATACATACTTAAAATGCATTATATATACAGTGTATTGCATGCAATTACGTAAATCATTGACCATTTGAGTTGTTAACAAAATGCATTACAATTAACTACTAATAAGTAATAATATTATATTTACCTGGATTCCTATAAATAGGCTCATATTTAAATATTTTTTATTAACTTTAATGTACAAACTTAGTCAGTAATTATAAAATACAATTTGTAGRATTCTAAATAAACTAACTTACATATTTTACAATATATTTCAACATATAGGTATATTGTAGAAATGTTTATTTTTGACATTAATTTTAAATGAAATTTTAGTATCAAATATCGACGAACGATAAATTTATAATTATTGTAGTGTAACTGTGTAACTAATAAAAATATTACACGCATAGAGCATATAACAAATGATAAAGTATAATTATACGTAGATAATATAATATGTTGTGTTATGCATAATACGTAGATAATTTCTTTTAAAAATATTTTACACATATTTGCCTTTTTAAAATTTTAATATTTAAATGTATAAACCATTTAGTGTTTTATTATTAAACATATAATTAGTATTTACGCCATATTCATAATTTTTTTTTTTTATGTTTTTAAGTTTTATAATCACGTAGGTGCACTACCTATACATGAAAATCTAAGTTTAAAATTAAAGTAGCAATAATCATAAGTCATATCACCTTCACATCATGTTATAATTTATGTATTATCGTTATAGAAAAAAATTAATTTTCAAGTAATATAAGTTCACTTTTTATGTAGGTACTTATAAATCTATTTTTTCATGTTAGGTATAGGTACATAATACAAATTACAATACATAAATTATAATAAATATTGTGGGCTCTGTGGTAACATTGAGTCATATTCTAATTTCTTTACTAAAATTGGTATTTTATGATATTAATATTTTAGTAATATAAATACTATTAACTCGAAAAATTGTACATTTAAATGTAAATACTATATTAATTGAGTTCTGCATTTTAGATCTATCAGTGAATTTGCATAGACATAAATCTCGTATTTTTGCTCATATAAGGTAGTCCTCATGACTTTGCTGAATATAATTTTTTAGATTTTTATTTTCAATTTTTTGAATCTTAAAKGGAATAAAAATCGTAGACACCCCTCCAATCAACTATTTWWTTATACTTTTTATCAATACAATAGCACTAGAGTAACTAATAATAACTATTATATATATATAGGTTAGTACCAAATGCACTATAGGAAAAACGGCAATGTTTTACCCTCGTCGTCGTAATTTGATTCCCGTTGTTCGTACCGATTACGATGACGGTGACCTAATATTTTCAACGACTATTGTATGGCTTTCTGCATATACAATCTTTTCRTCAGTCGTAGAAATCGATGTGAAACAATAATTCCGTGCTCGAGAAAACACTAAATACAATGTATAATATCATAATAATACAGTTCACCGCTTTGTACTCTATAACTAAAATACAGATTTTTTACGTATACCTTTTACTGCATACAATCTAACCCTATGAACACGTGATCTTAGGTTGTGTATCATATTAATAATATCATAATATCCTAAACTCATGTAATAATAATAAATTATCTCATACAATACTAAATATTCATCCATTGTAAAATACGTAGAATCCAATATAAATCGCTGCATACTTTTACCAAAATTTGAGAGACAAACGAACATTAAATGTTGGTTTGACCATTTCATATATATATGTTTATATATAATTTTATCGTGTGAAATTTGATGTGTTTGAATTTAATCTTTCATTATTTAACAACAATGCGATGTAAGAACGTTTCGGTTTACTTGAAAATTATATAATCCCTAAGGATCTGAAAATAGGTGTGTGTCACAACTCACAGAAACTTTCAACATTACCAATACTYATGCTTTAATATGCGYAACCTCTCGATCACGAAGTCATACCGATAGACCATACAATAAAGAGAAATACGATGAGAGGTGCCAACCACTTAATGAGTCCTTGGACTGGTGATTTTTGGTATGAGAATAAGAGATATATGTTGAAATCATAACTTATAAAGGGTGTAAAAAAATTTATACATACATTATAGGTGTCTATAAAATAAATAATTATATAATATATAGGTAATGTGAATAACATAATATACACTATTTAGATCTTCGTTATGGGCGGGCCATCGACAGACAATTATTATAACCTACTATTTTATATTTAATGACAGGGCCGTATTTAAGCAGTGGTGTGGAAGGGCAATAGCCCGCTCCCCATAAAGGTTATCAAGAGGTACAAATATTTTTACGGAGACTATAAAAAAGTTTTTAATAAATAAAAATATCATATATTATTAATATTATTTTTAAAAAAACTGAGATAAAGATCATAATATATAATATATTTAAATAGTATGTTGTAAATTGTATGTATTTATATATTAGTATATTACCTATATCTTATTATTTGTTACCTAATATTTACCAATTACTGCATTTGCTAGGTTTTATTTTTAAATTGTATTTATCTATATACTAAATTAGATACCACGAATTCCTATAATTAGTATTAGCAAAGTCGGGGGCGCCAAAATCTGAAATACAGCCCTGTTTGCCGATATAGGTACCTACTATATAAATCAGACTGTCGATAGGAATAAAATAATATATTTAAATGTTTTTAGGAAAACAATACTGATAAGAATACAAAAAACTTAATGTATCGTCCCAAGTACTCATATATGGACATAATATTATATTATACTTGTAATGCCTTTATATCAATATGCCACGTGTGAGCTTGTTAAAACCGTCGATCTACCGCGGTCTGTGGTATTGCTWAGAAGTGTGTGTTATTCTTGGGTGGCGGGAATTTTAAGAACAAAAGCTGAAACGAAGGCGTATCCGAGCTATGCGTACATAACACGCGATTAAAGTAAAACCGTCACTGACTTTGATGGTAAAAATATTAAAAATAAATACTAACAAATTGCTAATGTGGGTGGTATTATACACTTAACAATTTTTGATAAAAGACATTTGTATCGGTCGGSACACACAGAGGTGGTCCGGGAACCCACTGGTCCTCGATGTTCGTATATACTGCCTATATTATTATGACATATGGATCACACATGGTAATGATAGTGGGTAGTGGACAGCATTATTTTGAATGTGGTGTTAAGATTGTAAGTGATTAATTATTTTCGTTATCGGTGCAGCTTGGGGTAATTATGTATCCTTGGGTATATAATAAAATTCGAGCGTACCGTACTCCGATGACCTATATCTTGGCGTATTTATGTCCATATTGCACGTGTATTATAAATGATAAATGCAAGACATGTGTCGTGCAGTAGCTGCTATGTTTGGGGTTGTTGTTTATACTTTTATCCAGCAAGACAATCTCAAGAGATAAGATCATTTTGAAAACATGTAGTCTTACAAATGTCTGTGGTGTCGTTCGATTGATATACGGTTACATTCGAAGAAACAGAATTCGTTTATCGTAATATATATTATATATATCGATTTTACATTCCCCCCTGTTTATTTTCGTTTTACGATATCGTTCGATTTTGGCGGCGGRCGCGCAAACGAAATGTTTCCCGGCCATTTATTATAATAAAGTATATCATGCGAAAGTAAAAACTCGGTCGATTTGACTCATTTTCCATTTTCACTCACAAAGGAGGAAAACCGCGGGCTCTATCACTTTTCACGTGAAAATAAACGGCGGTTAATGCACTATTGTAAATCTCATTATCCAGGGGCTCTTTGACTCTTTAACCGCACCGCGCCGTGAATCCAATAAACCCGATCATTACCCGTCCCGCTGCTCTTTGAACTTGACGACAAATAATAAATTACGTCGTTATTATATTACGTGTGGCCTGGTAGGGTGATGCAGCGGCGGCGGCGAAACGGCAAAAGTCGGACCGCCGCCCGAGTGATGTAGACCGATTGATTTATTCCGGATGGACAGACGACATCACTCGGCGTCCGGCTGGGGGCGAATCGCTTATAAAACGGAAATGATAATGCGATATAATATCGTTGTTTTCCACCAGGATCGTCAGTTTTCGGCTTCGGCTTAGGGGGAAATGCGTATGGTAAAGTAGTCCACTWTCCGGAATGCCACCGTCGCGTAACCTATTAACCCTATCACTCCTCCACTTCCTCTGCATGCAACCACAGCATCGGAACGCAATACGCGTGTAATTTAATAAATTGTTGCACCGTGTATAAAATGTACGCACGCGAGCCGGCTGATTTTCAAAAACTGCAATCCGTCGTCATTTTCGTCCGTCTTGCAGAATATAACTGTGAGGCGACGCGCGACGGTGTCGTGATAATAATAATAATATAATATGTCATCATTATTTATTACATTATGTAAATATATTTATTTTTAGTCAGATGGAGGGAGGTTGTATTGACCGAATTCGTTATTCATTTAAATTGTATATAATTCCCTATCCCGTGAATATACGCTCACTCTCCTCAGCACAGTCCATATATCCAAAAAATAAGTTAAATACTTTATGGGGATTGGCCAATAGTTTGAATGTATTAATTTTGATAAAAAGCTCATGGTTTATATTATATTATTATAATAATTACAGACTATATATATATGTGTGTGTGTGTGTGTGTGTTTGTGTTTAACATGAAATCAATTATAATCTTAAGCTTGTATTGTTTCAATTAAAATGAAACCTCTTTTTTTACATGATAAAAGATATCCAATGCAGCAATGTGGTAAATGGTCATTGCGCTAGGTACAGAATATTTTTTAAATTTATTATTACTTTATCATACTAATTTATTATATTAGGGTACCTACGTAGATTGTTTATAAGTTATAACTTAAATATGTATATATACCTTTAAAAGATTATCGTTATATCATGATATAGGTAGGTTATGGAACATATCTTATACTATACTACTATGTAGTAATATATAGGACATAGGTGTACATATTACCTATTATGTATTGAAAACTTACAATGACTGGTCGATTTGAGCATTTGGGATTGTTTTCATTCGTTTCCGTATTTATGTCATTCATTGGGTTGTGTGAGTATACCTACTACTCTACATGATTCTTACCGTTGCGCCGTGGGGGTTCTTTTTCAGGCAAAAGAAACTTGGATATTGTGTGTTTTATATACTTATATGTGCAGTGATTATTATAACCTACCAGCTACGTTACCTTCTTTGCAGTTTAGCTTGGAATTGCATCATATTTCTATAATATGGTTTTTATTTTGTTGAACTTGGCAATWTTTTACTATATACATTTGTTATAGTTGTGAAATAGCRATTATGTTGCATTAAATATTTAAATTGAAATTTACGGRATCTGCTATTGCAATTAATACTTTGTAACTATATTGTGTATATTAAGACGTCATTTTGGCCGTTTAAATTATTCATAAGGTTCATCGCAAAACGTAATATTGTTTTATACTTTAAATTAATATATGTAGTTATTAATTACTTTGATCTATTCCGTTGAGATTTTCGTTCTATATTTTAAAATAAATATAAAATTYCAAACTTAAATCCTTTTGTGAAAGGGAGGGGAGTAAGAGTTACTACAATGTACGGTGTATAACTCAAATAATTTTATTTTTGTTTTGAGTGTTATCTTATAAATTATATTGCAGCACTCGTCGAAGTAGGAAATAATGAGTTCTTTTTTGTTTTTTCTATGCAGTCGGCAACCCGAGAAAACAGCGACGTGAACGAACCACATTCACCCGGACGCAGTTGGACGTTCTGGAAACATTGTTCGCCAAAACTCGATATCCGGACATATTCATGCGTGAAGAGGTGGCACTGAAGATAAACTTACCCGAATCTAGAGTACAGGTAATTTATTATTTTATTTGGTTACATATTAGTTGTCATTGTTAAATCATTGCGTTTCGCGTTATGTTATTCAGCTTAGAGGGTMTTATAGAGTCTTGAATGATGGATAGAGGCCAATATATTAGAAAGCCAATAAAATACCTATACATATTGGTAAATAATGGTCGAATTCAGGGACGGTGCACATATTTACTGTTTTTGTTTTATCGTAACATTGCATTGTATAGAACGTCATTGTTCAGTAGGTATATTTATATAAAAATGATTACGTTCCAAGAAATATCATTAAAAAAATATTTGAGTGGTATGACGTACTATTGATACCTGACCAAGTATTTCGATACTCAACAAACACCTTAATCTATCCATTAATCGAAAAAAAAAATATGAGAAGAATAATCCTTTGTAATGCTAACATGAATTTTGTTGCATTTGATATGGGATAGGTTTAGAGGAAATTAGTAGGTATCTATCTAACTAAGCATTGACATTATCTGAGTTAAGGTTAACGAACAAAAAAATTCGAAAATCCTCTAAAGAATATAGTTAGCGGTGAAAATAATGTTTGCCGGTTACGGGACTTAGTTGCCACCACAATATCACCCTCTCACTACCTTTACCCACGAAAACGATAAAGGCAGAAGCAATGGGCGATTGGGGCGGTGCGCGCACGGCCGAATAACCCCAGAATGCTGTGGCTGAGTATAGAAGAGC